CCTTAGCGACGTTTGGGAGACCATCCCCAAAATTGATGTCACTACCTAGCGTGATCAATAAAAAGGCCTTGCTGTCTTTTGTTCTAGCTTCTTGCCTCTTCAAAACTCTTCTTTTAAAACTTTCTTGAAACTAAACGTATACGTTCTCTTAACTTCCTTTACTTTTGAAATTCCGATTTTTGTTTCGTACTTAAATCTCCTTCAGACGAGCTGAGAAAGCTACGACCCTGAATTCCAAATTTCTCAGCGGGAGATTTGATTTTCTTTATTCTGTTTGGAGCTGCCTGTTTAACCTCAGCAACATTATATAGCCGATATTCCCGAGGCCTCGCGAACCTACGGTGAATGTGTGAGTTTATTTGATTTTGTTGTTGCAACCTCATCCGACCGTTGTGAGCAACTTTGGACCAGAAACTCAGAAGCCTTCATTTATGGCCTTGAATAAATGAAACTACGGCTCGGACGACAGAACCCTGAGTGGCCCTATAGCGACACCAAACGAACTGAGATCAGAGCAAAAGCTGCAAGCGCTTCCCACAAGAGGACTCCGGACCCAATCCACCGGTTTCAACCCAACTCGAAAACGCCACTGGGGTCGGGCCAGAACCGACTTCCCGAGCCAACCGGCAGTCGAGCCTCGCCACGGGACCTGCGGCAACGTTAGGCCAAAACAAACAACACTCTGTGACTCGTTGGTGTTCTATGGGCTCCATCCACAGTTAATAACCCTTAGATTAGACAAACTAAATCTGCAAGCCAATTTCGGTCATTCGTTCCCTCATACTCGTAGAATTCTCTCCCTCTACAATATAAACTGAAATTCCATCGAACCTTACATAGGCTACCCTTTTTAGTACCTCCTTGTTGTCATATTAACTGTTATCCCTGTAATATCACCACATTTACCCACAATTGTACTCTCTTCTGTTAGTTAATAAATTCACTTTGAGCACAGCGATGTATGTGTGTGTGTGTTATTCAGAATCTAGAGTCCCTATACACAGAACTTACGCTCAGATCTGAGACTGACTGATTGACTTTACGATTTCAGAATAACAACTAATGAATTAACCGAACTCGGTATAATTCTCAGGCTATACTCAAGGACCTAAAGCCTTGGGCGGACAAGCAAATCTTTAGGTGGTGCTCCTAATTTCGAGGTATAAAATTAATATTCCCGGAAATATTAATTTTCATAACTGTATTAAAATTTTACGTAGCCGAAGTCTGCTACAAAACGCTACAAATATTGGTTTTATATAACTGTGGAAACTCCCCTGACTTTAATTATCTTTATATAGTTGTTGTTTGTGTAAATTTTAATGGATATCAGGACGCTAGTTTTTTTGCTCTGTCCTTTGTATAAAGTATCTGTTTGCTGAGCACTTTCACATGCTGTAAACTGAGTATATTGTGTTTTCTCCTCACTCTTTAAAAACCTATAGTCCTGTTTTGTCCGATAGCCGACCCTGGTAGTAGAAGCACCAGCTCATGTGGTGCACAATTAGTTTCTGCAGCTACTTTAGCAACAGTACAGGTTTTTGAAAGAAATGAGTGTCACATTCATCACATACAGACTTCTCTCATATCACCATATATCTGCATCAAACCCTGCAAGTTCTTTTTGTGCTATCTGACATCAGTGTGATGTTTCATGCTCTGTGTTGAAAACTGTTTATATCATAGCTGCTATAAGCCACACAGTGTTCTGCATTTCCTTTTGTTTTCACACTTAAGCAGCAACCCCAGACTGAACAGAGAGGACTGAGCAAGAAAAGCCCAGACTCTCTAATGACTTCTTATTCTATCCTCTTATTCTGGCCAGTAAACTTCAGTAAATGTCACAGGTTCACTTTCCTGCACCTTCAGACGCACCTGCGTTCAGAATGGTTTTTTTTAGAAAGTGCCTAAAAAGGAAGTTAACATGTTGTAAAGAATAATACAGAACAGCTCTGATTATTTTATGTACTACTGCTGTTCTCCCACATGCCAGAAAATCGTCCTTTTCATTCATTATTTATTTTGGAGGACATTTCGTTGAGATCTTCAAATCCAAAACACCTGGAAGGAACACAAATGTCCCAACAATGGTAAAATAAACACATGATAAAATTATATTTTCCAGTTCCAGTTCTAGGTGCAGTCTAACAAATGAATGGAAGAAACTTCTTAAATACGTGAAGATTACGACTCTCCTTCAGCGTGTCTTTACTCTACTTCTTCAGTAATTAAGTGTCCATGTAGTATCCATGGTAACAGCACACCGTGTAGTTTCTAATACAAGAGGAAATCAAGCCGCTCACATTGTGTTTGTTAGAACTTAGAAAGCAAAAGAATGATACAGAACAACTGGATTTTACATCACACTGAACTTCTGCTCTGTCTCAGAAAAGTGTGCATGATATTGTTTTAATACATTTCCTGTTTTGAGGACTTTTGTAAGATGCACTTTTCAGGCAACACCCAGAAGTAACAAATATTCCTGTGTCCCAGTGATGATAAAATATGATGATAAAATTCAGTGAGTTCTAGTTAGATGCATGATTATGAACTGTTTATGTGAATTACTACAGATAATCAGTCAGATAATTAAGCTTGTCCAGGTTTCCTTTCCCCAAATCATATCAGTAGTTTGATCTACTTTGTCTTATTAACTGATTCATTTTGGTTGTTGTTCTGATGTGCTGTGTTACAGTGGTACAGAGTCTGAATGGCTGGGGAGTGACTTACACTTCTACTGAGATCTGTGCCTTCAAAGGATCAACTGTGGACATAAGCTGCACCTACACATATCCATCCTATATTAATTACGTTTATACTACTATTGAGAAAAGATTCTGGTTTAAAGGTGGTGAATTTGTGGATCTGAGAACAAACTCAGGTCGTGTGGAGTATATCTTTGTTAAGAACCGCTGCACTCTGAGAATCACAGACCTGAGAGAGAGCGACTCAGCTGAGTACAAGTTCAGGTTCATAACAAACCAACCAGGTGGGACATATACTGGTTCACCTGGAGTCACTCTGTCTGTCACAGGTAACATTTCATCTGAATATTTCCAAGTGTTAATCATCATTAACTGCGTCTGTGTGTTGACAGTTGAGTCTAAATGAAGACTTCTGTTTCTTATTCACATAATCAGATCTCCAGGTGCAGGTGAGCAGATTACAGGTCAACACGTCTGATATCTGGGCAGAGCTGAAGTGTCACAGCAGTTGTCGTCTACCTGGTCATCCTTACTACACCTGGTACAAGAATAGACAGAGTATTTGGGGACAAACATCTAATTCTTATTCAGACTTCTTTGATCCTGCAGACAGCGTTTCCTGTGCTGTACAAGGAAATGAGAAGTCTCGCTCTCCTTCAGTGTGTGAGTTTACATCCAGTCTTCCACTGACATGACACCATCTGGTGGAGCCTTTAACCTGTTGTACTGCACATTAACTGACTTTGGCTATCGTCATAGATGTTCCCTGATTGTGTTTTGGTTTGTTTTGTGGACTTAATTCGACCATCTTGTCCCTTAATAGTATCAAAGTGTTAAACTTGTATCCATGGTAACAGGAACCCATGTAGTTTCTGTTGGAGGAAATCAAGCTGCACCGCCACTTTGTGTTTGCATGGATTATTGTCTAATTAAAATATGCTGCACTGTTAAAGCTCAAGCTCATGTTGAAATGTTATATGTGATCATGTTTTCTCCTCCAGATGCTCCAAAGCTTCCCTCAGTGTCACTGAGTCCCTCTGCTGAGATAGTGGAGAACAGTTCAGTGACTCTGACCTGCAGCAGTGATGCTAACCCAGCAGCTAATTATACCTGGTACAAGGAGAACGAAGACTCATCAAAAGCATCAGGACAGAACTTCACCATCACCGAGTTCAGAGCTGAACACAGTGGGAAATATTACTGTGAAGCTGAGAACAGAAGAGGACGTCATAACTCCACCTTACATCTGGTTGTTGTGGCAGGTAAACTTCTGCATTCAGCTACACACACAGACGTTTACTGCACCAGACCTGATTCACATTAATATGTGAAAACAAACACGTTCTCACTTCAAAAACTGGTACAGTTTCCTGTCTACATTTCCAAAGACTGTTTTTCTGTAGCTACGTTCAGTGAGAAACCTCTGACTGACTGATTAACAGATTGAATCACCTGGCAAAGTGATTTATTAATCCTTACTCTAATCCTGCTAATGAGTGATGTCACATGTCTTTCTGTACTTCTAGGGAATTCAACAATAATAATGAATATCATCAGGTTGACCTCTGGTGGTCTTGATGCTGATTCCTTGCTTCTCCTGAATCTGTGGACGAGGTAAAACAGTCAGAATCCATCAGTTCAGTCTTTCATTCTTCAAACTTCTTCACTTTAGTGTTGTGAAATTCATGATGTTAAAATTAGTATTTGTTGATGTTGGACCCATCCAGGGAGAAGAAAACTCTGAGCTCCAGCACTGAACCAAATGAACCTGTAGAGACAATAGAGGTG